TAAAACTTCAAGAAGCTAGAGACCTGTAGCATTCCTTTAAGACAGAGAATATGGTGCTGCCAGGAGGCAATAAATGTTAATGAACTGGGAAAGTCAGCCTGCATCCAGAAGATGGATGTTGAACAAGATCCCTTGTTCACAAGAGTTATAGGAAAGTAGAGGTTGTTGCAGTTGCTGCTTATGTGATAACCAGTTAAAAAGGTGTAGTTTCCTATTTGTACTGTTTAAGTGTTCTGACTTGCTGTTACTGTTTTTGTGACTGATGTTTTGCCTACTGCTGTGGAGAACCTAAATTCGTGTTGCCATGTCTCAAGTTGTATGAGGTCAGATGAATTTGACACAGATTGTTTGGCTGTCAAAAGTGGTACTGCTGCCCTGCCTCCTGCATGCTGGCAGTAGGGTTTGTGCTATTGGGGATTTAGTGTTGCTGGAAGCAGGATTGACAGAAATTAGTTGACAATTGAGTGGCCAACCCAAGCACTAGTGTGACAGAAGAGCAGGGATGTGGAGTGTAGGAAGATGACAATCTGGTTTAATGCCACCATACAAGGGGCTTAGCTTCCATGAGTGCTCCCACAGCCTGAGTCTGGGCTGCCTTCTAAAGAATCCTTAGCAAGCACAGGACACATTTGCAGCTTTGTGTCTGTAAGATGTGGGAAAGAGGCTGAACAATTGTCTTCCTTTCTTCTTTTCTCTTCCTGTCAAGCTTGGTTAAAGAAGCAAGTGTTCTTATGGATGAGACAAGCATCTCTAGAACTTCCAGACAGAAGTATTATGCCTCTGAACTGTCCTCTACATGCCAGCAGATTCAAAAATATGGTTCCTGATTGCCAGCATGGTGTGTCCTAATGCAACAAGCTTAAGAAAACCTTGAATAGCTTCTAGACTCTCAGTGTCAAGATGAATTCTTACTACTCTTTTTTTTTTTCTTGGCTACACTGGCTTGCGTAAGTTTAGGGGAAAGGTGTCCACCACAGAATGAGTTAAATCAAGCTAACAATTTTGTAGTATAAACATTACTTAATTCCACTTTTGCTAACTGTTGAAAGCAATTAATTTGTCTTCAGTAGGTCTGTCAACTGTCTTAAGATCCCAAGCTACTAGCTAGCATGCTAAATAAGCACTCAAGCTATTTCTGTTTGGAAGGGCTGTGGAATGGTATTTGAGAGAGAACTGGGGAAGCAGAAAGGACTTATTTGTAGGCAGGATGTGTTGGTATCCAGCAGAAGGAGTGCATGGAATATCCTTGTTCATCCAAAATGTAATAATCATCTTTCATTTCTTTAGACTCCAAGTTGAATCTCTGAAAGATACTAATGGTCACATAAGCTTGTGGTAGAGCACTTTGGAACACTGCAAATAGATCTTAGAAAGGCTGGTTTTGCCTGAATGTTATAAAATAGTGCTCATGGGAGAAAAATCCTCTATTCTACTGTGAAGTACAATACCGTGGCTATTAGATGACTGCTTTTTTAGGTTTTTTTGGCCAAGTGGCTGATTGTAAAGCAAAAAAGCCTTCTGCCAAAGAAGAAAAGAAATTGGATTCCTTCCATAGCTAGATTTGGGTTGCCTCAATTTATTTAGATGTTCAGAAAACACTTTAATACCTGATGCTTACTTCAGAAGAAATACTTTTAATACCCCGCAGTTCTGACACATTGCTAAAATTACTTGAGAAAAGGATTGTTTCATTAGCTAGGCATCCTAAATGAGCTTTTCACCTGATGATGTCGTATTACTGGTAGTTGTGCAATAATAGGACTTGACAGAATAATTGAGACTGAGCTGATGCTCTGTTTCTCTAAATGAGTGTTGTTCAGGTCTTTGTAACAGCAAAGTGTTCTCTCTTTGCAGGAGGCAAGTATCCTTATTGTTTCAAAAATAAATGTCAGATGAAATACTATGAATGGCATTCACTTTGAGATGAGTCGCTTTGCTCTTACAGTTTGAGTTTCCTCGTGACTGAATTCAGTGAGTGGGTTTACATGCTGCCTTTGAAATGGAGCAGTCCTGACACGGCGTAATCTTTAGGCTTCAGGGGCTTGTGATCATCTGCTGAAGTCAGCTTGCACGCAAACAGAGGGACTGCATGCAAAAAGCTGTGTTAGGATTTAGCAGGGCAAGACTTAGTGCAACACAACAGATGACCTTAAAGAACTGTTTCAAACAACTGTGTTTCTGATTCAGGGGATAAGAAACTCCTCTTTTAAGCATGCTGCAGCTAGTCCTGGTTAGCTTTCATTCACCATGCCGGGTTTGCTGCTAACTTAACGTTTTTCGTTTTTTTTGAGCCCCAAAAGGGAAGACTCGCATGACAAAGTTAAATACAATGTCAGCCATTAACTATGTAAGTAAAAATGTAAGGAAAATTGTAAGTAAAAATGGGTCCCAAAGTGGAGAGCTTTACTTGTATTTCTGACATATGCTGTAGTATTTTGAGCTTTTTTTAAGGTAGGTTGGTTTGTTAGTTTGTTGGGTTTTTTTAAACACTGTCTTTCAGATTCTTAACCAGAATTTTTTAATACCTCACAGTGAGGTTTATCCTTCAGGCTTCTGGGGAGTTCCCCCATCTAGAGGGGGCAGTTTCTCTAACCTGTACCAAAACCCAAGGAGTGTATTTCAGAGCAGTTCTCATCCTTTGCTCTCACCTGTACCAGTGATGATCGGGCTGATGTTCCAAGTGCCTTCAACCAATCTTTGCTGCATGTTCACTACTCGCTTTAGGCTAGTCCTCACCATGCAGGTTAGAGGTCAGTATGTATAATAAGGCATCTGTTCTTACTTGCAGTAGTAATAATAATATGTAACCTAATGGTAATAGGTAGCTCTGAGAAGTGCTGTGTTACTTCAGTAATGGTGAAGCACAAAACCGATGTGTTGAAACATGACTCAACACCCCTTTGTAAAACCAAATGGAGAGTCTAAAGGGATGAATAGCATAATGCTACCCGTAATGCATCGTTCAGACATGTGTATGCTTTTGCTAGACCTTCTGTCAGTGACTGCATTGATCTACAGCCTTCCTTTTCTGAGGTGTGTCAGGCATGTGAAAAACTAATCGTCCAAGTGCTTGTTGAGGAATGCTTAAGTAAGAGCTGGTGTAAAATTTATTACTGTTTGGGGGGACAGGCATTATTATCATAAATTCCTTTAGAATATAAATAAAAATTGGTTCTAAAACTATGTATACATTCAGACCTATTCCTGGAATTTGCTGCAAATATTTTCATTAAGTATTGACTGTATTTATTATATTCACTGGGGGTTTTTTGTACTTAAGTTTAGAAAATTTTAATGATGGAATATTGTTCTCATAATCAACGTGCTGGCTTCTTTATAGTATTAAGTAGAAATAGTGTCTTTAATAGAACAGGTAAATTTATAACCTGCCTATTGTTTGAACTGTGGCTTCCTAGTACCTTCATCTTTGCCTTACTGTTTAAGTTTCCCTTTTCAGTGACTTTGCTCCTAAGTAGTAGTTCCTTTGATGGATACCCTTCTACTTGAAGTAGCATGTTCACTTGTTACTACCTACTCCTTAGTAACTTATTCTTCACGTTATTAGCTGCAACGGAAATGGAGTCAACGCTTAAGTTCTGTACTCTGGCCTATGTAGAAAAGTAATATTTTCTTTTAATTCTATTAATTGCTGCTAGTGTGTCTTACATGTATGCAACCAGTTAAAAAAAGTAGCATCAGGAGTTCCTCTTTCATCTTTGTCTTGACAAATGTTAAGGTTACTGTGCTAAACGCTTTCTCAGCTTAGTCCGAGTGCTCAGTAATGAGGTACAGTTCTCTAAACAACTGTCAAAGTTTAGTTTTTAAATAGCCTTGAAACTGAGAGAAAAATGATGATGTATAAAAAGTAAAGTAATTGCAGTGTAAGCATGCTGCTCTGAGCTGTCTGAGGACCTTCCATGGGCATAAGCGCAGCTGTAATTTTGTGGCTATAGTGGGTTGAGACTGGAATGTGTAATTCCAGAATAGGGTTGTTTTTTTTCTTTAAATTGCTATCTTTATAGTACAAATAGAAATAGTATTCTGTGTATATGTAAACCAGATGTACGAATGAAATCAGCAAAGTGCTATTGGAGAATTCAAGTTATCAGCATTGTGGTACAGTCTGTCTTAACTCGGTAACCCCAAGTACCCATGTCTTCAGTCCTCCCACAGTATGTCTCCTCTCATTTTTTCCAAATCTGTTCCATCTCCTTTCAGGAGACTTAAATATCCTCTCTCTCTTCAGAAGACCTGTTCTCTGTGAAAGAGTAAATCCTAATGCAGTGAGTACAAAGAAACTGTAGCAGACTCACTGCAAATCAGAATACCTGCCTCTTGGATGCTTCACTTTCTGCTTCCCTATCAGAGGAGGTGCTCCCTGTCCTAGCACCCTCTGTGCCTTGCTTGATAAGGAAGTCAGAGTGGTGGCCTAGAGCAACCAACTGCTGCTTCCTGCCTTCTCTGCGAGTCAGAAAGTGATGCTTTGCTGCCCTCATCCTGTGCTGAGTAGCTGAGTATCAACAATATTTCATAGCTTTTGTTTCTGCTTCTCTGCATGGTCTGTCCACGTGCACAGTGATACAGATGAAAATCCCACCTCTGTAATGGTTTATAGGCTTTTGTTAAACTGCTGCAAACAATAGTGGCTCAAATTCCAATCTGCAACTTTAAAGTCACATAATGTATATTAACCTAAAGGAGGTTCTGGTAGGGCTGAACTAGCCTTCCAGTTGTTCATCCAGGCATGCCAGCAGACACCATGTTTCATGTGCCTTTAAAAGGTAAATTACTGTGTAGTTGGAATCCTAAAGTACAATTAAAATTATTATACTTTTTGTCAGAATTTAACCTTGTTTCCAACCTTGGTCTGTAGAGCACTTCTGTTTTTACTCTCACTGGGAGTCATACAACCCTTTGTATTGCAGATTTAGCCATATGTATTATTCCTTCAGGATCAAAGTGCCTCTGTAACATCATTGATTTTTGCTTTTGTTTCCTAGGCTGTGAAGATATTATTGCTGAGAGCATCTCACTAGACACCTTAATTGCCATTCTAAAGTGGAGCTCTCAGCCGTACGGTTCCAAGTGGGTACATCGTCAAGCGCTACATTTCCTCTGTGAGGAGTTTACGCAGGTCATGACTTCAGATGTCTTCTATGAACTCAGCAAGGACCACCTGCTCACAGCCATTCAGTCTGACTATTTACAGGTAACCTGCAGTGCAGAATACAGCTGGTCCTGCTTGAAGCGGGGTGTGTTATAGCATTACTAGAAGGGCTTGGGAATAGCTCATTTTAAGAGTGGGTTTGTATGCACACTAAATATTCCTTTTGTAATATGTAAAAAATGAAATTGAAGTAGTGATTAAGAAAGCTATTTTGTTCTTGGCCTGTAACACAACCCAAGCTGGTGGTATATGCTGTTGCTTAGAAGCCTAATAATAGTTTAGAAGTGGCTGCAAATTATCCTAAACGAAGCATTTCTGAGCCTAGCATTTGCCTTGCATGTTTAAGTGCTTTATAAAATTATATCATGGTAGTAGTTTTGCTGTGACAACATACATCCTAGTTGGGGGCAGGGGTAGCTAATAAACTAGTAATTGTTCAGAAGGCTTAATTTTAGGGGGAGACATAAAAATACCTTTTCTGACAAGTATTGCAGAATGTAGTTGTTTTTGTGACTCTTCTTCAGTGATTGTTTTGTTTTAGGGAGAGGAAACCGTAGTGACTAACAGAAAGCTTGTGGATTTTTGCTACCATTTCTCTTCAGGGGAGATATCTTTATAATGATGACCAGCCTTTTATAGCTTAAAGATGACTGGATTATTTTTTTAAAAGTGCATCTGTCCCAATCTTACCTTTTTTATAGTATAAAGTGTTAGAGATAATTTAAAATATTTTTTTAAAAAAAGTTTTGTTTACTTTAAACATTTCAGGAATTACAGTGACAGTACTGTTGATCTTTCATGAGTGTGTATTATGACTAAATTTCCTACCCTAGTTGTTGAGAAATTACATAGATAAATTTAAATTTTTCAGTGCATTATTTTTTTCCTCTAAAAATGTTGAGTGGTTAGCCCACGTATATAGGTATGAACAAAGAAAAGTTGTTTTGCTTATAGTATTACTGAAAATCTTTCTCTTCACCTAGATTATAATTAGTTGGTTTGATTATTTTTGTAGCTTTCCAGGCTGTGCAGATGCTGAGTTTATAATGTTAAACAAGAGATCCGAACACCCAGTATTAGAACTGCCCCTTTTAATTAACTTTAATTTGGATTTAATACCTGTAAGTTTTCATCTAGACAAACTTTTTCCTTTTGTAGAAAAAAATTTTTTCCCCTTCCTCGGGATTCAATAAGTGATATGAATTGAGAAATCATGGTGTTGATATACCAGTAGGACTACATTAAAGATATTTGGAGGAAGTGGTATAGCAGATCATAAAGTACAAATACTTCCTTGGCTCTTAGTAGAGTTGTGTTTCTTTATAGCTGTAAACCTGTGTGTGCCTTTGTGTGTGTGTGACATTAAACTAAGCATATACAGATTGCTGACTTTCTCTTTCTACCAGGCAAGTGAACAAGATATTCTTAAATATCTGATTAAATGGGGAGAACACCAGTTGATTAAGAGAATAGCAGATCGAGGTGAGGATCCTTTAAACCACACAGTACTAAACAAATAAACCAAAATGTATGGAAGTTTGTTTTTTGTGGGTAATCTGTAACTTAAGGAAACTTAATCTAAATGCACTTGTGTGTTTTTGTCTTGTGTTTTTTGTTGGGTTTTTTTTTTGAAGTATTGTTCTCTAAAAAATAAGAATGCAGGCTTTCAGAGGGAGCTGGGTTTGTTTAGACTCAATAAGAAATGGCTTAGAGGGGAATTTATAGACTTTACTAAGATATCTAATGGCAGGAAGTAAGGAAACGGAGCCCCACTCTTCTCTTGGCACCCAGGACAGGATGAGAGACAATGAGGCATTAACTGGAATACAGGAAATTCTGTTTAAATGTAAGAAACTGTGAAGTTGGTCAGACACTGGAACAGGTTGCACAGAGTAGTCATGGGGCCTCCATCCTAGAAGGTGTTCAAAACCCAACTAGACGTAGTCATGGGCAACTTGCTCTACCCTGCCTGGGGAGGCGTGGGGAGAGGGTGGTGGTTGTGGCCAGACCAAACTGCTAGAGGTCCTTTCAACCTCTATGATTGTCTGATTTTTAAGGCTCATTTCCTGTTGTCTCGTAATTATTTCCCTTGTAACTAATTCATCAAATAAATACCCTGCAGTATCTTTCACTTTTCTGTGATCACGCAGGCTTCTCACAGTAGTCTTATTCTTAGTTTACTGTGTCAACCTTTCACTTCAGATTTAGTACACTTCTCCCACAGAAATCTGTGGTAGTGAGAAACAAGCCATCAAGTGGCATCAGTGTTTTTCCTAAAGTAGATGTAAATGCGTTTTGTGGGGTTTTTTTAGCTCAGATGAATATTATTGTTACAGCAGTAACTTCAAGGGTAATCTCACATGTTGGATGTGGGAAGTAGGTTAAATATATATTTCCCAAATAACAAATGCAAGTAGCTTGTAGTTCATCCCCACCATGAAGTATCAATCGGGTAGTACCACGAGAGGAACAGAATGGAAAGAATCTGCCTGTGCAAAAACAGAGCGGTGCTGGTGTGGCTACTGTCTTTGGAGGGCTGGCCATGTTCTTGAAATCCACTGTTACAGCTTGCGATACAACTGCTTTGTCATGGACATGTTGTATGACACACAACAAAAAGTCAGTTAAAATACGTGGGTTTAGTGACTTGAGTAAGTATTAACCTTCTATTTTCAAAACAAGATTTTTCCGAGTGTTTGTCCCAAGGCCCGTTGGAGTGGAATGGAGTCAGTTCAACACTAACAGACCTGGACTGGAGGAGAAGCTGCTCATTGGGAGTATTGTGCAGCTTCCTGGTCTGTGATGTTCCTTAAGTAAACAGCGCACTTCTCTTTCCTGGGATCATGAGATAACATGATAAGCAAAAGCAGAAATAAGCACTATGCCAAATTCTGTCAAATTAGGGCCAAATTTAGTCTAGTAACTTGGTCTAAATTCCTCAGTGATGCTCCTGATTTTGTAGCTCTGAATATGTGGCGGTGTCAATCAAATACCAGAAAGCATTAGAAATTGTAATGGGCTGTGGCCAAAACTTGAGCTGGCTGTACTGAAGGGAGAATGGGTATGTTTGACAGGTTTCCTCAAAGAGCGAATCTAGTCAAATTCAGGTTGGGCATAGTAAGTAAAATTACAGGCAAAGGTAGTTAAAGGGAGACTGACCCAAGTGTGTCATACATTGTCATCGCCTGGAGTACTGCATTCAGGTCTGGGGCCCCCAGCATAGGAAAGACATGGACCTGCTTGAGCGGATCCAGAGAAGGGGCATGAAGATGACTGGGGGCTGGAGCACCTGCCCTGTGAGGACAGGCTGAGAGAGTTGGAGTTGTTCAGCCTGGAGAAGAAAAGGCTCCGGGGAGACCTTAATGCAACTTTGAACTTAAAGGGGGCTGACAGGAAAGGTGGGGAGGGACTCTTTATCAGGGAGTGTGGTGATAGGATATGGGGTAAAGGTTTCAAACTAAAAGAGGAGAGATTTAGATTAGATATTAGAAAGAAGCTCTCTACTGAGAGGGTGGTGAGGCACTGGAACAGGCTGCGCAGAGAAGCTGTGGCTGCCCCCTCCCTGGCAGTGTTCAAGGCCAGGTTAGATGTGGCTTTGAGCAACTTGGTCTAGTGGAAGGTGTCCCTGGCCATGGCAGGGGGTTTGGGACTAGATGATCTTTAAGGTCTCTTCCAACCCAACCCATTCTATGATCTTTCAGTCTCTAGGAAGACACCCACTCTTGGGACAAATAGGTGTCCATGAGAGCAATTCGAATGGGCTTGACATAGTTATTACTAAGGTTGGTTATACAAGAAGGCTGGAATAATTTACCCCAATGGACTCTTCATGCGTTAATTTGTAAAAAAGTAAGTCTCTGAAAACTCCCAGGGAAAAGGAGAGGAGCTGCAGGAGAGTCCTTGGGGTGAACTACTAGCAGGGAGGTACAAATCTTTTCATAGCATTTTTGGTAGAGCTTTATAAATGTTTACCCCAAACACTATTTTTGTATTTTCTTCCTGGATTACACTTTGAAACGGACAGCTGTGCAAATGACCCATGCTCATATAAACTGAACCTGTCTCTATGGATGCTTCGTATCAGTTCTTAAGGCATGAAATAATTTTGTGGAACGATGCTGATAAGCGCTGTTGATTTAAAATTAGAATTTTCTTTCCTTTTCTGTAAGGCCCTATGAGCCCTGTAATTCACACTTTGCTATTTAAACTTTTTGATGTAAACTTAGTATTTCTTGTTCCTTCCCACAGAGCCTAATTTACTCAGTGGTACTGCTCACAGTGTGAACAAAAGAGGTGTGAAGAGGAGAGATCTTGACATTGAGGAGCTGAGAGAGATCTTGTCTCCGCTTTTACCTTTTGTCCGCATTGAGCACATCTTACCCATGAATAGTGAAGTACTGAGTGATGCAGTAAGTCAGTAGTCTCCTACGAATAGTGAAGTACTGAGTGATTCAGTAAGTTAGTAGTACAACTTACTGTACAAATGATGTACAAATACTATCTCTGGGTTCTTTGTTCTTCAGATTCTACAATGTTCAGGGTTGGTTTTATTTATTTTTTTTTTTAAAGGACTAGCTCCTAAAGTGGCACCGCTCAGAGTACTATGTGTATAACTTTTTCTGGTTAAATTTTCTGTTCTTTGAGTCTATCAGAAGGCTAAAGAACGATCAGGGGTGTAAGGATTCAGTGTAAGAAATGCATTTCTTGCAAGTTTTTCCCATATTTATTTTCTAAAACGCATAAAACTCTTTCTTGATTCTTAAAGATGAAGAGAGGCCTGATTAGTACTCCTCCTTCAGACATGCTACCAACATCAGAAGGTGGAAAGTCAAATGCCTGGCTGCGGCAAAAAAATGCTGGAATATATGTGCGGCCAAGACTGTTCTCACCATATGTGGAGGAGGCGAAGGTAATCATCATTAACAACACTTGGCTATTGTTAAATTGAGTCATCAGGGGGTTCTGTAAACAGGGAAAGATTTTGGTATGTTTTGTCTCTCTTTGCATGTACTGGCCTAAAATACTAACATTTTCAATTTAACAAGACTTACAAGATTGATCATCAGGCTCAAGTCTCTAGAACTGGTCAGAAAAATTTCAACAAAATTTTTTTTTGTCGAAATTGAAATGTTTGCGAGACAGATCTTGATGAAATTCCACCGGAAACAAAGCAGCGTTCTGAGGGAAACCTCCCTGGTTTCCAGCCAGTTTGCCGGCCCAGCTCCTCGGCAGCCCTCCTGGCAGGCGGATGGCAAGGTGAGAGCCTGAGAGTCCCAGTTTGCAGCTAGTCAGCAACCTTGGTGCTAGGTCTTTCAGGCTCCCCAGCTCCCACCAGAGCTGGGTAGAGAACTACTATTCCACTCGGCAGAGGACTCTGATAGTTCACCTTCTTGTTTGAATCAAAACATATCAAAAATTCTTTTGATCCTCCGCAAAATGGAATAAATATCTTGTGTCCAATTTGACTGAAGTCCTTTGTGTCCCACTCAGGCAGTAGCTTCCCTGTTTTACTATCTTGCATGAGGACTGTCAAACTGAAGATCTTGTAGCATCTCTGATGGTGTTGTTTGGTGCCAGAGTGAAGATGGCTCTGTGTGGGGCAGAAACAAGTCATATTCTGTTTGACAGAGTGGGACCCTTGTAGGTCGCTAACTAGTGCTACCGCTTAAGGCAGCTCTGACTTAAGTCAAGAGCTTGTGAGTCCTAGCAGTGCTGCTGACTGCAGAACAAGAGGATTAAATGAAGTTCTGCATGTCCACATTGCCTACAAACTCTCACCACTACTCTGGTGAATTCATAGCGTTCGCCCTCTGCCTAAGAAAGAAAATATTTTCTAAGGGTGTGACATCCTTCTTGTTGACATCCTCTTTGAGGGGTGGGGAGTCATAAAACCACTTTGCATTTTGGGCACGAAGGTTAGAGAGCACCAGGTGGCACTAAAGCAGCAAAGGCAAACTAGCCAGTGAAAATTTTATTTTTGTATCTTGGATTGTTAAAACTAACAAAAATGTGTTAAAGGACATGTGATAAAAGCTTTGCCTTTTTTAATTTTCAGGTATACGGTATGGGAGTGCTTTAGTAGTAATCTTAAAGTAAAAAATGCATTCCGAGTTCCCCCCGCCCTCCCCCCCCCCCGAATCCTACTTGTTTCTATAAGTTCCATATGCTGTTAATATTTTTAAAAGCATTATTATCTGCTTAACCTTAGAGGGAGGTCTCTCCTACTTATTACCTGGTAACTATGTTCTCTATTCATAGTTTAATTATTGTGAAATGTAAAAATTGCAGATAAATGACTTCTGACTTTTTTTTTTACTCCCTTGTTAGCCTCCCATTCTTTGAAATAAATCCATTTATCATTAAATGAGAATCTTAAAAGGGTATGGATAAATCTCTTTTCTAGTCTTTAAGACATCTGAGGGAAACAGGTTTCATCTTCAGACTAGTGCCTTCTACTCAATGGCACAGAGAGTTGAGACCTATAGGCAGTAGCTGTCTGAGTCCAGAGAGTCTGGCCTCAAGAAGGTTATTTCTAATCTGATAGGTACAAAATAAACAAAGCAACCTTCCCAAACTTTTATTTACCTGCCTGCTCTTAGCTCTGAAACTCGACCCTGATCATGACTGGCAAACGGAATAGGAAATGCTGTGGAAAAGCCAAAAACTGTTTGGGACCTCGAAAAGTTACAGTTTAGACATTGCTAGGCTTGTGGCCTCGGGACTGTGTTTGCAGCATTCCCCGGGGTATGTGTGTGCAGTGCCTCCCTGAGGGCTCTAATGGCTGTCGTTGCAGTCAGTACTGGATGAGATGATGGTGGAACAAACCGATCTTGTTCGTTTGCGGATGGTCCGAATGTCCAACGTGCCCGACACCCTTTACATGGTGAACAACGCAGTGCCGCAGTGCTGTCACATGATTACTCACCAGCAAGTTAGCACTAACCAGTCCAGTCCTCCTTCAGTTATAGCCAATGAGATCCCAGGTAAGGCTGGTAGATCGGTCGCAGTGCCGATTGCTCTCATGTGAGTGGGTGGGGACTTGGGGCTTGGGAGAGTGAACAGGAGTTACTGAATATTGTGATTTCCTCAGAGAGTAGTGCTGCACAATTTGGGCTGCTTCCCACCCAGCAGTAGTGCCTTTTGCTTTGGTCTACTCTGAAGACATTAACTATTTTTGGATGGCATAGTAAGTAGTTAGAAAATAAGCTACTGGAGGGCATAGTATTTTAATTTTAACCTGCTTCAGCTGAGCAATTTGAAAAACCTTGGACTAGTTAAACTTACTGTAGAATACCTGCTGGTGCCTGGCTCTCGGTTCTCAGTTTTCTACAACCAGTCGTCCAAGGCGGGTAAGATCCAGAAGGCTGGAAAATGGCAAAGTACTGTTTTCTTTTAAAAACAAAAAGCAGGGGAGCAGAACTTTTAGGGCAGTCAGCTTAACTCAGTTTGCCAGAAAAATACTGGAAGTAGGCACTCAAAACACTTCAGTTTACCAAAACTTTAGCTTTGAAGTCAAACCAGCTTCATTGCTTGTGTGGCAGAGTTGAATTTTTATAGGTGGAAGGTAGGTACAGCCTCTCTTAACTTCAGGATACTTGGTGTGACATTCCCCAGAGGGCAGCCAGGGAAATACCGTCCTAAAACTACTGTAATATATTTTGTCATTTATACATTCAATCTTTTGGTGTCAAACTGGAAGAATGTATCTGGTGGGATTCCCAAAGCATCCAGCTCTTCCCACCTTTCCCCTGTCTCATTAATACTCAGTGTGCATAGAGAGTACACTGGCAAAACTTGCAGCTGATGACAAGTTGGGAGTGGATGTTTTGGAGGGCAGGATTAGATAGCTAAATGATGAAGATTAAATCTGAATTCAGTGAAGAAAGTGGGAAACGTTGTGTTTAGGTGTAGCCAGCTGTGTGCATACAGGGTGGCTGAGGGAAGCTCTGCGGAGAAAGCCTGAAAATCAACATTGTACAATACCGTGAAGAGCAACCATCATGCTAAAATAGAAGAACAAATGTGGCACAAGACGGGAAGTAATTTGGTCCCAGATGGAGCATTATATTTAGACCTTTTAATGGCCATGCTGAGTCAGGTCAAGGATTTTCTGTCTAGTCTACTATCCTTATTCCAACAGTCACCAGAAGTGAGTGCATCAGGCAAGTATAGCTGAAAAAGCACATAAAATAATTTCCTTTAAACTTCTGTGTTCTTTTCAACCATTTGCATCTCAGATGTCCTATGGTGGATGATGTTTCTGTGTGGTTAGTAATTTAAAATGCATTTTAATCCATGATCTTATGCAGTCTTTTGTTAAACTTGCATAAACTTTTGGCATCCATTTTTAGATCAAAGTATCACATTTCAGTAGATAGGGATCCGTTTGGGAGTCTGTAGAAAAGCAATAAAGATGATGTGCCACCAAGAAAACAGTCATCTTCCTCCCTTCGCCACTCTCCACTCCCCATTTTATAAGCTCTTTGTATATCAATTATGTGTCTCTTCAGTCAGCTACGTTGAAAGCAAGTAGATAAACTATTCTTAGAGATGCTAGAGCCAGGACAAAAATAATAGGTTTAAATTGCTGCAAGAGAATTTAAGTGGAGGTGTTAGGAAGATTTGAAACACTTGTTTAGTTAAACACGTGCAGTAAGTTTTCTAGGAAGGTTTGTAGAATGGTTTTGACATATTTGTTAGAGATGTGATAAAGCCTGAAAGAAGCTTCTGAAAACTTATGTAATTTGATAAAGTACTGATTGTTTGTTTAGAAACGCTGTTTAGAGCTGTGGCATCCCAGCAGTACGTTACTGTACTCGGGCCTTTTTTCCCCCTCTACAGAAAAGCATAAATACACTGTTCAAAAGCGTGTATTGAATGTAAAGTATTTCATTGTAAGATGTGACTTTAGGAACACTTTGCTCGATCGTAGTTTTTGAAGAAGTTGAGAAAAGAAACAGGTTCTCAAAGGTCTCCGCAAGGTTTCGCAAATGTTTTGCGAAAGTTCTCCTGTTCTGAAAAAATCTGGCTCTGCTGGCAAACATGAGACATCTTGACCAATCTGAAACTCCACTATAGGTTGATTCTGTACAATTTAATATATAGGAATTATTGCCAGCCCTTTGATTTGAGCATGGATACAACTCTGAGCCTGGGCAGTGGTTGGAGCACAGGTACTGTGTCCTGGTAACTGCCTGCTTTGCTTAGTTCTGTAATTAAGCAAAAGGAGTGATTGTTTTGCCAATGCCGTGTGCTAGGAAGGGTAGATGGAGCCCAGTTAGTTTGAGGAGATTCAGGTATGTACCAAACCTGTAACTTGCACAGGAATCCATCCCAAAGCACAGATGGAGCACAGGAACTGCCGGAGGGCGAGCTGGGCAATGTCCTCTCCGTACCCCTTAGGCCGGGCTCTTGAAGAGGCGGTTCTTTATGGCTTATGTATTCTCCACTTGTCACTTGTCTTCCTTGTACCCACTGCCCAGGGGCTACGTTTGCATAAATGCTTTTGGCAGCATATCATCTTCGTGCTGCTCTTGCCAACAGTACTGTGAAATGAGTTCAACCTCTGCTAAAGCCTGCTCTACTTTGAGGATAGGTTCTGCAGGTAATTGAGTTTCCTTAGGTATTTTCCAGTTTTGGTTTGAATTATAAATCCTGCAGCTGACTTGAAAGAAATGTATTTTTTATATATGTAATCTCTCTTCCATGTGTTTCACATGAATAATAGTAAAAAAACAGAAACAAACCTGGGTTTGAAAAGATAGCACTTTTTAATGAAAACTTAGATCATTTTTATGCCTGGTAGTTTGGAGAACTGCTTCAAACTTCTCTAAAATCCTTTTTTTCAGTGTTAGGAAAACACTAGTTGTAGCTAAACATCTGGCTGCTAAACCAGGATTTTTCAGAACGATTGAAGTGTGTGGAGGCTAGTGTGAAGGACTGATTTCCAAGCCTTGTAGACTGGATAGAATTGATTTGTGGGGAGTGTGTGGATATTTTTGCACTGCTTACACTTACCCTTCATGTACCAATGTAAATTTTGTGAAATTAGGACCAGTTGTAGTTGCATGGTGTTGGGTTTTCTCCTCTGTAATGCAAATGTCTTTTCACACTGTTCTTGCTGTCTGATCCATTTAATTTTTATGAGCTTTCATTATGGACATCTGATCATGGTAATATATAATGCTTGTAAAGCTGGTGAAGGATCAGATGCCAGGACTTGTGTATTCAGAGATCTGGATTTGTCTTCTCTTATCATATGCACATTTTCCTGAGGCCAGAAAGACCACGGAAAAATACCATTCTTTGTCAAGCAGCAGCAAGAAGTGGCATGAGAAAGTTTCACAACAGGATAAATACCCCAAGTTATACAGCATTTCCTTTTGGAAAGGGTTTTTTTTAAAAAAAAAAATAAAAATTAATATGGCTACATAAAACAACATAATTTTTACAGGATTATGTTGGCTTACAGTTTGTGTAAATTTTTTTAGAATGCTCTTCCTGTAGTGACATACTTGTATTATGGTCTTGTGACTATAGAATTCCACTGGAAGTATGAAGTGTATGCCAAAAAACCCAGTGAATTCTTGGCCTGTAGAATTCATGAGGGAACATTCAGTTGTTATTTAAGATATCCTGCCCCCACCTCAAATCATGAAATTCCTGCATCATAAGGGGTTTATAAAGAAGGCTGTATTTGTGGCTCATTCGAGCAGAAGCTCGAAAAATGGTATATGTCTTTACTGTTTGTGTGATATGTGTGTGTTATCCCCTGTGGCTTAATGATGCTCCAAGGAACATGTGTAATTCTGTCTGTTCTTGGCAGAATGTTGCTCAAAGAAAAAAAAAAAAGCCAAGTCAGCCTGAGGTTAGGTTTTTCCCTTCAGAATTCAATCGAACGATTGCAATCAAACTTACTGTCTCACAGCTCAAGCAGTAATCTCTGTTATCCCCATTCTGTTCTCTATTATCCCTCCAGTTCCCAATCTCCTCATTGTAAAAGAGATGATCAAGCGGCTGCAGGAGCTGCGTCACACCGAGCAGGTGCAAAGAGCGTACGCACTCAATTGTGGGGAAGGTGCCACAGTCAGTTATGAGATTCAGATTCGGGTCCTGCGGGAATTCGGACTTTCTGATGCTGCTGCCGAACTTCTGCAGGTATGAAAAATTGCTGTACAAGACCACAAATGCTTTGGTTCTGGTCTGCTTGTGAATTGACTTCAATGTGTAATCTGCAATAAGGAACCTACTCTGTTTGTGCACATGCAGGTGCAAAAATGCTTTGAAATGCCTGAGTAACCTCGGAACTCTCCAGGTGCAAGTTACGGTGATGCTGTTGCATTTGATGTATGTGATTTTATGAATGTATAATTGCAATGTATAAATATTTTTCTCAGGAGTTGTTGCCATTCAGGGTGCTCCTACTGCCACAGGTTTTAAGGATAAAAAAAAAAATCTGCTGAAGAGGCAGTTGATGAGAATAGTCAAACAATAACTGGAAATCTAGATTATAATTTGTTATATTGAATCAGAGAGGAGATAAAGTCCTAATACAGTAGATCTACATAGTTCATTTCAGTGCTTCTGTTTGTACGCTGCTGCTAAAGCAAATGCATTTGTTGTTTAACTTATTCACACAGTGAATCTGATGCTTCTTGTCTTTTTTTTAAAAAAAAAAAAATCTTATTCCATGGTAGCTGTAATCACCCGGAGTCTTCATGAGGTTTTAAGTGGCACAACTAGCCAGTTAAGTACTAGCAGATTTCTAATTCCAGTGTGTATTAGTTTGGGAGAATTTTCTAGATGACTTCCTACTTCGTTTTGTTATGTGCTGGGTGTTTTCCTTTGCAGAATCCCCACAAATTCTTTCCTGATGAGCGATTTGGGGACGAAAGCCCACTCCTGACAATGAGACAGTCTGGACGATGTCGCGTTAACAGCACTCCCACTGCAGAAACCATGTTTACAGAACTGGACTCTTTTGTGGCCTTCCATCCACCATTACCCCCGCCTCCACCTCCATACCACCCACCAGCAACTCCTATTCATAACCAGTTCAAAGTGGGCTGGAAACAAAGGGTGCCAAGTCAACATCCCTCCCGTTCCTTTTCTTACCCGTGTAATCACTCGCTGTTCCACTCCCGAACCGCTCCCAAAGCTGCACCGCCCGTCTACTTGCCCAGTGTGAAAGCAGCACCTCCCGATTGCACTAACACGACAGCTCTGGGGAGGCAAACGGTGGCTGCGGCAGCAGCAGTGATGGCAGCTGAGAAGCAAGTAGTAAGTATTATGGTTTCTCCTCCCTATCTCTGGCCACTTAAAGCAGCTTATAGAGAGTAGCTGGAGAGAATTCTTATGATGAAGTAACTTGGCTTCGTTGAATAAAAGAGCATCTTCATTGGTTAAAAGAATTTTTACCAAACTGTCTGTCAGCAAGCAGAAGGGTTGCATCTACAGTGACGAAATAGTGGCTTCCCTGGACTGGAACTCTGTGCTGTAACAAAGCAGTTGTTAAGTTCTGCACAGAGTACCTTGCTTAGTTTGATAATTGCAAGTGGCTTAAAGCAGGCTTACCTTTGGAGCAGTTAGCGGTACACTGTCATTTACTGCATGTTCAAGACAAGATGCGTTCAAGAAGGGGCTATTACTGTGGCACAACAGCTTCATGAAGGAAAGCAGTTGTCTTAAGCTAGCAGGAAGGTGAAGGTTGGAGGATACACATGTTCTTTAAACAGTGTAGGAAACTCACAGGCAGGGGCTGGTCTAGGCAAAGGTAGATCAGGAAAATGCCATTTTGAATTACAGAAACCATCCTAAATCCAGGTTTTGTTTAGCTTTTGCTTTGTTTTCATGGACCAATTTCTTTTATTTTCCAGTGTACTCAGCCCTTGCTAAATGAACTGATGCCAGATATCGCAATGGGTGTGTCAGCAATGTCTCTGAAAGACAAAAGATTACCAGAGCTCACGGTCGACACAGAATTAAGCCAGACGGTTACAGAGGTAGGGCCCGGTCCACCCCAGCATATTTCATGTATTCAGAACAGACACATGCCCACTTCTCGA